TAAAAGAATACTAGTTAAGGAACAGGATACAGGAGACATAATCCTACAAGAAGAACAAATGTAGAAAGATTGGATAAAAAAGAAATCAGAATCTTTAGAATATTTTAGTATTCTAGCTTTAAATTCAAGTACAAAAGAAATTAGAGAAGGGTTGGAAAAACTTTAGCTAAACAATAAACCTACTACAGAAAACCAACCTCTAATAACAAAAAGGAGACAAACAAATAATTACAAGAGATAGTAACCTTAGAAAAGAAGAAAAGGTACTTAGGATACAGAAGAATCTGAAGAAGATAATAGTATATACTATATAAAAACATTACAATTAGAAGAGGAACATACTAATTGTGAGGAAGAGTATAGGAAAATGAAGGAACACAGTACTATACTAGGAAACTCTATTATACAATAACTTGTAAGACAACAACAAATACAACTACAACTTACTCAAGAAGATGTAAACAATATTCTGAATCCAGACAGAATACTAAGAGCTCTTATTAAAGAAATAAGACAGAAGTACATTAAGAAGTATAAAGAAGTAGAAGCTGTCAACAAACTATAGGTAAGGAGGACATAGGAAATAATTATGAGTACTTACTTTTTAAAAGCAAAAAGTGAGGAAGACAAGATCTTCTTAAGGGAAACTGTTAAAAAGAGAGTAACTCCTATGAGAGAAGATAACAGACTCTAGATAGAGTAAAAAGGTATAATAGTAAAAGTCCTAAATAGGACTCTAAACTGTTCCTATAATACATCTGAAGGTACTAGATTATTATAGTATAGGGTCCTGAATATAACATTAAACTATTCCTACAAAAGGGAAAATTGTAGTATAGTAACTCTTAACTGAGTGAGAAATGTCCTGAACAAGACATTAAACTATTCTTATAACAAATCTGAAGTACTAGATTGTTATAACAACATGATTTGAGTAAATTAGAAAATTACTCCTAATACAAGGATAAAAAGAGTATTAGTATATTATATGTCTCCTCCACATCTACAATAACATATAATAAGTGCTCTACACACACCTTCTGAACAGAAGTAAAACTAAAGGGGGTAACTAAACTAGAAACTACAAATAAGAGGGAATGACTTCCTACTAGTTAAATTTAGTCTTTAGAGTGTACTATTTTAGTCAGAGAGTCTGAATACTAGTCAAACTAGAGCTAGCTAGTAAAGAACTGGGAGACAGAGGACACATCAGTCTATATTACAGACTGACACTAAAAGCAGAATTATAATAACTAAGGTAAAGGTAGAAGCCCTTTTAATAAGTTAACTAGTTACAACTGTTAAAAGGAAAACTATACTTACAAGTGTAGCTCTCACTTTTCAGTCATGAAAGTAAGCTGTAAAAGCTGAAATGAAAGGGAAAAGCATTTATATTCACTTTAATACAGAATACAAAAGAGGCAGACTATAAAAGGAAAGTATCTAAAGGAAAAGATACTAGTATAGGACATACAAGACAAAGGAAAAAGAAAGGGGGGAAGGACACAAATTCTACCCAAAATTAAATCCCAAACCTAATCAATTATAAAAGCAAGTATTTTACAATAGTAGTAATACTGTTTAAGAAAGTATTACTTAGGAGGGACTGAATGTTAGGAATTGTAAAATACAGTAACTAAGTTTGGAAAGCCTAACTCAAGACTTGGAACCAAGTAGTTTATAAACAAAACTCTATTAGTTACAAGTCTAGAGATTAGCCAGATCAACTAGGCTACCTTTATTGTCCTACTTAGTAAGAACTCTAGCTCAGCATTATAAACCTCTAATCATTACTAATGAGTAATTAATCCATTAGTAGAGAGAGGGGACAGAAAGGAGTAAGTACTAAGTCAGTTAGGAAAAGGTAACAAAACCTGTAAACAAGGCCTTTATCTCTCTAAGGTTAAACACATACTCTAACACTGTATTACTTAATAAACCTCAACCAAAGACAAGTCATTTGTATACTTGTATAGAGAGGGGATCTGGAAAGAGTATAGTGTCCAAAGTAAGGAGAATGGTAGAGAAAGACTAGGAGAAAACCTGAAAAGATAAAGGAAAAATATTATACTTACTTATAAGAGAAGCTATATAACTAGCTAGAAATACTTTGTATAAAGACAAAAGACTATCAGAGCTAGTAAAGAGTCAGAGCTAGTACTCTAAAGCTCTATACTTAAGGAGGACTAGTACTAGTGTAAAGGAAAGGAACTGAGAGCTCTAAGGAGAGACTATAGGAAAGTAGTCTCCTTTATACACTTTACTTATACAGATAGGAAAGTAATAAAGTTATAAACATAAGGATTATATGAGGACAACATAAGGAATACATGAGGCAATCTAGAACTTTGGTTGTAAGTTCTATAATTAAATACAGAAGTATAAAGATAAGGCTAGAAGTTAATAAGGATAATTGTCTCCTAAACTAAGTCTATTAAAGAAGACTTAGAGAAAGATCTAGAACATTAGTTGTCAGTTCTAGAGTGTATATAAGACAGTTAAGAACTTTAGTTGTAAGTTCTAAGGGTAGTACAGAAGTACAGCCTTTTATATTACAAAAGTTATAAGGAGTTATTAGAAGTCATAATACTCTACCTTATAAGAAAGTGTATTACAAATCAGTGTACAAGAAGTACAGGTTGAGTCAGACAGAGTTATAAGAAGACTATAAGAATAATAGAAAGCTCTACTTTATAGGAAAAGTATTACATAACTTACACAGTATAACTAGTTAGAAGGACTTATAAAGAGTCATTAGAAGCTTGAGAGGAAGTATGGAAGACATAACAATATAGTAAAGAAGTTATTAGAAGATTAATCTAGAATACAAGAAGACACAAACTAGTGTTAGAAGATTAATAAAAGACACAAACTAGTATAGTATACAGTCTAAAGGATTAGCCAGCTCTACTTTATAGGAACAATAGTAAAGAGAGTTACTAAAGTTACTAGAGTAACATTACTCTAGCAAAAGGTATATAAGGAGGCTAGTTTGGCCCTCAAAAGATAGTTTTATTAACTTAAGTTACTTAGTACTTAGAAGTACTCTACTACTAACCTACTAGTTTACACTTGTAGCTTGACTAAAGTAGGACTCCTCTACCCTCTTACTCTACAAGTCTACAAGTCTTACTCTCTATACTCTATTCTATTACTATTCCTAAGAATTGGGACTAGTAAAGTGAGTATATCTTACACTCACTCATACTCAGGATACTGTTAGGGATTTCTACAAAGCTCATCCTAGTACTCTAAGATAACTAAACATTCTAAAAGGAACCTTTAGAGACTTTAACACTTTGCTTAAGTAAAATAGTCTTTAAATTCAGTTGTCTAGGACATACAACCTAAGGAGGGAGGTAATGTTAGGACTGTAAGGAAATGAGTACTCATTTCACAATGTAGCCAATCCATTTCTTACCCAATATAGTAACTTGCACATCTTTTGTACTCTCTATAGTAACTTGTGCCTCTTTTGTACAATGGCCTCTTAGCCTATATTCTCTAATACACAATACTCTGTTAATTCTTCCTAGCCTCTGATGCACCTGTTAGCTTTGTGATATTTGTTCTTATTATTTCTTTGATCTTATTCTTAAGTTTCATTCCTTACTTTACTCTTGTTATTTAGTTATTATAAAAAGCAGTCTGTAGATACAGTAGTTCCTTAGTTTTTTGACTCTTCTTGTATTCCTACTTGTTCTCCTAGTATAAATCCTAGCTGGTAGCTTTGGGAATATAGTTGGTTTAAGGGCTGCAGGTCTACATTCACAGTTTGAGAGTACTATCAACCTAGAGAACACATCTCCCCTAACAGGTTGAACCTGACAATACTCCTTAAGAAACACAGAGAGATTATATGTTTTAATCATTGGGTAAAGGAGTTAGTGAAAAGTTTTACTGCCTGTGAAGTTGTTCCACTAATTCAAAGCTGTCAGCTGTACAGTGGTAGCACTCATCCTATCAGTAATTGTTCCTATTTGTATCTTCAGTTTCTTTGACACTGTGTTTGCACAGATGTGTGCTTCTCTTCTAAGGACAATGTATATGTTCTCTGTTAATTCCAACATTGCAGAAACATGCCTCAAAATGTTGTTGGACAATCCTGCATGCATGGAAGATGAGAAGTTGTAATGCTTTTATCGGAATAAAATGAGTGTTCTCCTTACGTAAGCCGAAAAGATCAAGCGAGCCATGGAGATACAAGTTTGTCTGCCCGCGGAAACGGATCGAGAAGCACAACGCACGCCGTCGGGAGTCCAGCAGGCTCCGATGCCAACAAGCGACAAGAGTGCCAAGGCGGTAAAAATGGCGTATAAAGCAGATTGATGTAGGAGTCTGGGTCTCCTTCTTGGTCTTCGTCTTGCATGCTGTCGAGCCTGAGTTGTATCTCCCCAAAGACTGTCTTAACTGTGCACGGACACTTGCTTGTTCACGGAATGAGTCGGACCAGATTCATATCTTTTGAAACAGTTCAGAACAAGAAGGGAAGACAAAGAGTCGGCAGGAAACGCAGGTATGTTCGGTCGGCATCCAGCAAGAACGGCTTTTGGATGGCTGGTGAGTACAATTCATGTTCTCTTTCCGTTACCTCATTCGAATCGGACTGAGCGGAGTGATATTATTAGGCAGAGGTTGATCCTTTGGAGCTCCGTTTCCGCATATCATACGAACAATTACTGAACGTAACGGGGAATAGAACTATTTCATCTGTCAACGTTCACGACCAGTAAATTTCTTTCCTGGCTGGTTAATTCGTGTATGTATAGCCAACGTTACCCACGATTCTCTTGCTACATTGAAAAATCAACAAAGCGGCTCCCCGTGCGGACTCTGCGGAAGTGAAATTGTTCAGACGATGAAGGTCAGGTGTGAGATGAGACGGGCCATAGCCAATCATGAGGGTGATAATCAACAATTTGGTGGCTGACGTAACGCGAGCGTGGGGGTAAACGGTAGACGCTGTCCGTGACCGTCATGCAGCGGATGGCCGGCTTTCGATTTCCCATTTATTTCCGGTCTTTGCTTAGCCATTTCCCCTATATCGACTGCTGTCGAGCTATCGAGGTCTTCTAGCGGACGTGATTTGTAGCAAGCTAACGACGATGAGCGAGCCGCGGCAAGATATGAAGATCCTGTCCTCTGACGAGATCGCGACCCATAATAGCAGGGACAGCTGCTGGATTATCGTTCATGGTAAGTAGAGGTCGTATCTTTCTCGCACAAAGTCCGAGCAATACTTTGCGTGCGGTCGTGCTTCATGTCAAGTGTTGAACTTGCTGGACTGTGTTGCGTGCACGTGTGAGGCGCGAGATCCTATGGACTCCTCGTTCGTGCAGGTTGGACACGACTTAGACAAGCGTCTCGTGCGTAACACCAAACTGCCTTGACTTCTGGCAGTTACTGGATATCTCGGACGGGCTCAATGATTGAAAGTCGTTGGAAAACTGGGTTGGGTAACGGTTGTCGGACTCTACGAAACTTCTGGACATGCATGGTCCGCTTAGCTCCGCCGTGTGGTATGGAAATCCACTGGGCACCATTGGCACTATCTCACACAGTCCGCCCGATTCCGGTTGAAGCCATAATCGCTTCACGGACTTGAATGAAATTACTTCGACTTATACTGACGCTGTTGTTCAGGCAAAGTGTACGATGTCACCGAATTCCTTGACGGTAAGTCATTCATACACTCAATTAATTTAAATTTTTTGATTATTTATACTTGCATAGATCACCCAGGTAGGCTTATCGAATTTAACCGTCTCTTTCTGGGTTCTCATCGTCTTTCTTTTTCAAGGTGGAAGCAAAATAATCCTGAAGTACGCCGGAAAGGACGCAACGTAGGTCTCCTGCCGTCACTATAGTGCAACTTTCTTATAATTACGCTGCAGTAAAGAATATGATCCAATTCATCCGCCGGACGCGATTACTACGCACCTTCCACCGTCAAAGCAGTACGTACATTAATTTCCTCTGTTAATTTTTAAATACGCGCCTAACTCGGTCAATGTAGCCTTGGGGTCGTTGATCCTTCTTCCTCTAAAGCTGTACCTGTGGAAGAAACGGAAGAAGAAAAGCTGCATAAGCAACTTCTGGCTTCCGTCCCACCTCTTTCGAGTATTCTCAATCTACACGACTTTGAGAGCATCGCTCGACGAGTCCTACCACCACGCGCTTGGGCGTATTATAGCAGCGCTGCAGACGACGAGATAACACTTCGAGAAAACCGGGGTGCTTATCTTCGGTACGCATTTGCGTCGGAAAGTCTCGAGTAGTGGGATGGCTCACTTTATGTGCCTTTTTTAGCATTTGGTTCCGTCCACAGATCCTGGTCGATGTGGAGAGGGTTGATTTTTCGACGACAATCCTTGGCCATCGGTCCAGTATGCCAATCTACATTGTAAGTTCCTTACTCGTTGCATATGAGCTTCGAAACTAAGAGACCTCCGTAGACCGCTACTGCACTCGGCAAGTTAGGTCACCCGGACGGGGAACTTAACCTTACACGCGGTGCCGCAAGACATGGCGTCATCCAGATGGTTCGTTTGAATTGTTTGAATGCATACTTCAAATCATTGATGGTTTCTTTCGGCCCCGTTCATAGATCCCGACTCTTGCATCTTGTTCTTTTGACCAAATTGTCGATGCGGCAGAACCTGGTCAGGTGCAATTTATGCAATTGTACGTGAATAAAGACCGCAAAGTTACGGAACGCATCGTACGTCATGCCGAAGAGCGGGGAGTGAAGGGTCTCTTTATCACCGTTGATGCGCCACAGCTGGGTAGGCGCGAGAAGGTATTGTGAATCTGGCGTTATATGAAGATGGGATTCTGACAGAGCCTGAAAATTGGCGCTCGGCAGGATATGCGAATGAAATTTGACGATGAGGGTGCAAGTGTGCAGAAGGGCGATTCGTCAGTAGATCGTAATCAAGGTGCTGCGCGAGCCATAAGCGTATGTTTATCTCCGTAATTATTACAATATTAGCCTGATTCTCACAGCTGGGTAGTCCTTCATAGATCCCTCACTTTCATGGAAGGATATCCCATGGTTCCAAAGCATAACCAAAAGTACGTCCTTAGCAGTGAAAACTGAGGATGGCGTATTAATTGTTGTCTCAACGCGTACCAGTGCCTATAATTTTGAAGGGTGTTCAACGATGGGAAGACGCTTTACGTGCATACGATACGGGATGCGCAGGAATAGTTCTATCAAATCACGGTGGTCGACAACTCGACACAGCACCATCTGGAATTGAGATCCTCGTTTCTGTTGTAGATGCCTTCAAGAGAAAACGAGGAATCGTATTCCCGTTGAAAGATAGGAAGTTCCAGATTTTCGTAGATGGAGGTGTTAGACGAGCTTCGGATGTCTTAAAAGCGATTGCTTTGGGGGCGACAGCTGGTAAGTTATATATGGTTGACGTTGAGATTAATGACTCTCATTTTATTCGCGGTTTAGTGGGTATCGGACGACCATTCTTGTATGCATACTCAGCATACGGTGTTGACGGTGTCGATAAAGCATTATCCATCTTGAAGGTCTACTCAGCTCCCCTCGTTTCTCTATGTTTTCTATATGCATTTCTGATGTACTATATGTTAGGACGAGTTCGGAATGAACATGCGCTTACTGGGTGCACCCACGACCGCAGATGTTAGTCCCGAAATGGTCGACGCGAGCGACATCCATACGCATATTGTCTCGGTACCAAGCGATCGGTTGTATGACGCCAACTGTACGTTGCTTAACTTCATGGCCCAGCTGATACACTAATGTAATTTTCTTTGATGTTTGAATTACCAACAGACGAGGGCATACAAGGTGCGGTACTACGTGAGGCGAAGCACGACGTGAAACAGTCGACGCTTGCGAAATTATGAGATCCTGGCTCTAACGACTTTATGCTCTGTAACACACGACTACAACGGAGATCTGATTCTTCGTTTATCCGTATGAATTTGCTTCTTTATTGGATAGAATTGAATTACATGACATGAGAACCCTTGGGCTGATGCAAGCCAGCAGTATAACCTCTGGTCACATAAGCGAACTAACAATACGTCTCATTGCCTTCTTTGGATATTTTACCAATCACCTTCGAAATCCGACTGGTGGAAGAATCTGCCACTGAATGTGCTTCAAGCAATCGAGTGCTTCGGCAAATCTATAGAAAGCTTCTTCCCCTGGGGCACTGATTTATTCGCTTCTTGTCATTCCTGATGAAAACTGGGAATAGGCCATCTCACCAGTGAACGTATCTCTCGGGCAATGACTTTGAGGTGCAAGACATTCCTTTCTTAACTAACAATCACCGAGTACCTTGGTACAATCCACTGACTAAGGAATGCATCTTCACATTCGTCATCGTACTCGCCCTTCATTCTAAAATCCTCAATGAGAAGGTATTCCTTTTTCTAGGCCCGCCAATGCTCAGACTTGCATAAACCTTGCAGCATCATTGAAATAATGACGAGCTTCTCCGTCGAAGTTTGCTGAGTAAGCTTTCCACATGATGAATAAGTGGGCAGATTTGACTAATTTCTCATACGTGTCGGAAACAGATAAAAGCGCTTGATATCCTATCACTCCGTCGCGAACAACCGCAATGACTACCAAGGTTCTCGTGCTTGGAGCAACGGGGTACATAGGGGGTTTGTCCTATTTACGTATCATGCCGTGCCTGCAAATCGCGTTAACCGTGAATTTTATTCAGGTTCTGTCCTCGTGTCCCTTGTCAAGTCACATCCCAATGTGAAGTTCAGCACTGTCGTTCGAATGTCCACAGCTGGTGCCCCAGACACATTTGCTGCATTTGCAAAGCAGTCAAATATCGACTTGGGGTCGAATGCTACTACTCGCTCGTCTTCTGTTGCAGACAAGTTTCGTGCAATCGGTGTCGAAACCGTTATTGGATCTCTTGACGACCTGGAGCTGGTTACAAGGCTCAGCGCTGAGTCCGATATCGTCATCAATGCTGCCGATTGCGACAACGTCGACTTACTGAATGCACTTCTGGAGGGCCAAAAGCGCCGGAAGGCACAGAGAAAACCCGCCGGATCAATTGTTCACACGAGCGGAGCTTTTATTTTTGTGGATAATTCTGAAGATGGAAAGTTCAATGCGAATGGAAAGCTTTGGACTGTGAGGTCGCTTTCGTTCCTTAGAGGTTTTCCTGTGTGCTGACGCCGTACTAGGACTCTGAGGAAGATATTCGTGCTCTCACGACGTCGATGCCACATTGTCAGGTCGACGTACCGTTCGTGGCTTCCTTCAAACGAGTACGATTTCCCTTCTAGGTAAACTTATTCTTTATTCTAGATTAATGAAAGCTTCCGAAGCTGGAGTCGTCAACTCTTTCATCATCTGCCCGTCCGGTGTATATGGTACCTGCACAGGCCCAATTGAGCGCGATTCACTCATATTTCGAGCAGTCATCCCCGACTATTTGAGTCAGAAACGTGCCTATTACGTTGGAGAAGGAACTAATCGATACGAATGGGTAAGTCGTACGGCTTTACTTTCCAAGCGTATTTTTCTGACAATTTGCGTTTAGGTACATCTTGGAGACTTAGTTTCTTTGTTCGACAAAGTTTTCAAGCTTGCTCTCGATGCTCTGTCGAGTCCGCCTGCGACTAGTCCTTACGAGCGGTATTACATAGCAAGTACTACACCCGTTCCATGGAAAGACGTCTCGGAACGTCTTGCTCGCGAATTGCACAAGAGGGGTTTTATCGAGTCACCTAAACCTACTGTGATTTCGCCTGAGGGTCTATCATTCCTTCCCCGGTGAGGACGATACGTAGTTTAAAATAGTGTTTTGTTTAACCTTTTTCATTGCTTCTTTTAGCTTGTTAGCTTCGAGCTTGAACACTCGAGGTTTCCGAGGAGAAGAAATAGGATGGAAACCGAAACACATTACATTTTCGGAGGAAGCGTTTAATGAACAGGTTGGAGTTACTTTGAAATCCTTCAAGTAATCGAAAAATGTAGTACTTTGCAATCAAGTAAGAGCATTTGTGTAAGGAAGTAATACAATTTTCGGTTCAATGGCAAGCATACAAACATGTATCTATAAAGAATAACTGTCTATCTGATATGTGTGGTACTTATTAACCCTTACGTCACTATGTTATAAGGCATTGGTATTCAATAGTGTGTGCGGATATGCAGATTAAAGATCCAAAGGGTCTTAAACATCGGGAAAAAGTCTAAATTCTTGTATTACCTTATAATGGTATAAAATAAGTGAAAAAAGTAAAAAAAGTAAAAACACTTAGAACGGATCTCGGTTTCTGAGAAAGTGATACAAGACATTATAAAGTCTGGAAGGTTTGTGTATTTTGTAAACATAAATAAGAGTTATTCTCCTTGACAATATATAAAATGTATTACAATGGATCTCTAAAATTACAAGGTTAAATCACCCTTGTTGAGTATGGCAAATATTATAATCGTTTATAAAGCTCTTAAATTGTTTTAATATCTTTCCAATAGTCATTTTTCCTTACATCCGTTTGTTATTGAAATAACAGTTTATAATTATATTGAAACATTATATAAATACATTATATCTACAACAATTAGGGGTGAGACAGTTTGTGAGATTGATTGGCTAAGAGTGTGGGCGTGAGCATTGTCAGTGTGAGTGGGTAACTGGATGAGGAG